GGAGCCAGGGACCCTTAGAGATTGGTGCCCCCAAAACTCAAGCCACACTGAAACGTCAGCTGGTTAAAGTGGGTGGCCTTAGAGGCCCAAAGTGCTTCCCAACTACAGAACTACCCAGCAAACTTGTTACAATGCCTCCCCCGCCCCAAACATAATCCTGACTGGCCTGGAACTTAACCATGTAGACTAGGCTGGCCTCAAAGTCAAGGAGATCCACCTGCCTCTGCCTCCCAAGTGCTAGGAGTAAAGGCGTGTGCCACCATGCCCGGCCCTCAAGAGCCAATTTTTAATAAGGGCTTCTGACTCACTGTCTGAGTGAGGTGTGTTTTAAGCACGCTCCTTCTTACATAAAAGAAAAGTTGAAAAACCTATGGCCTAGGGATAGACTAGATGTTTCTTAACCCCCAAAGGCGTTTGTGGCTAAGGGATTTTAGGTTATCTGGCTGGGTATGTTTCAGGCTGGCAGACATTACCGGCCAGGACTGCTAGTTAGGAAGAAGCATTTACTCTATTGTGGCACCCTTCCTGGTCCATCATCAGTTCCAAATGAGGCCCTTCCCTCATGCAGATGGCAGATGATACCTTCTTCAATACAGTGCGGAGCTTCTAAGTATTGTTCCCTAGAGCTCTGTCTCCTGCCCTCCAGCTCCAAAGCACAGGGGCAAGATGTTGTTATTCTTGTTATTCTGTGTCCTTCTATGAACTCATTTTCTAATAAGGAAAAAGTAGCCAGGTGTGGTAGAAGAGGCCTGCAATCCCACCCCTCAGGAAGCCGAAGTAGGATTGAGAGTTCACCATCTGGGCTATATATGGAGACCCTGCCCCCCCCCCAAAAAAAACAAAAGCAAACGGATTTCATAATGGTGGTGAAACTCAAGTCAGGATTACAGTTTAGAGGCCTCATTTAGTCAATAAGTTTGTGTGAAACAGCTGAAGAACAAGGGAGGGAATTTGCTGTTAGGCCCTCCGCCAGAAGCCAAGAACCAGTCTTGTCTTGCCTTCATGGTGCCAGCGTTGACTGCGCCTGAGCGGCCAGCACTGCTTTGGTTAAGAAGAGAAAGCAATGAACAGACTAGACAAAAGTCCTTGCCCTTACGAAAAGGATTACCGGACTAGGGAGGCAAACAGGCAAATACAATAAATAAGGAAAATGGAGGCTGCATTGACGGTGAGAGCTAACGGGGGAATAAAGCCTAGAAGGCAGAGACGGAAAGTGCTGGGGGCTGGGAATGTGAGACTACAGGACAAGAGAGGGTTCAAGAGCTGTGTGTGACACCGGAACTAATTCACCTTTTCCACCTCAGTTTCTCCAAATTGCAAAATATTATAGTGTTTTCTTGAGGAGGCTCTGATCTTTGTAACACGGGTTTTATTTTGTTTTTCCCTGACACAGGGTCTTCACGTGGCCATCTGGCTGTCCTGGAATCTAACAGGCAGACCAGGCTGCCCTTGAACCCACAGAGATCTGCCTGCCTCTGGGAGTGCTGGGGTCAAAGGTGCTCATCTCCACACCTGATCCTTTGTCATTTTTAAGCTATGGGACTGTGCTGTTGTTTTACATCCATCCATCCATCCGTCCGTCCGTCCATCCATCCATCCATCCATCCGTCCGTCCATCCACCCGTGTGGAGGGGTAGAAGTCAAAGAACAACTTCCGAGGGTTGGTTTTCTCTTTCTACCATGTGGGTCCCAGGAATCCTACTCGGGTTTTCAAGCTGGGCAACAAGTGCCACGTTAACCTGCGGCTCTCTCACTGGACCCTGGGATTCTGAATATTGACAGTCTAAATTTACACTATTCTGAACTATCTATCAACTAGGTCCTTTTGGAATTTTATGCCTGGGCATTGTTCACTTATAGCAAGAATGCTAAGCCAGTTTGACCAGAAATTCCCCTTACTCCAGGTATTTCCTTAGGAATTGAGATGTGCCTCTCTCCCCTCTCGTACAATCTCACTACAGCACTGTGATGTACATCTGGCTCCACAGTTTCCTCGAATAAAGCGTTACTGTTCTCCAAGGTGAGCGTCACCAACACTTTTTCAAATGCTACCCAAGTTTCATATCATTTCATATCCTCAGTTTCCTTATCTGAAAATGGAAAATGTTTGCCTAAATTATTTTACAGGGTTTTGGAAAATATCAGATGAGCTCATGAAGATATGTGAAAACAGGCTGTGTCTGGTGGTGAATTCCTGCACGTAGAGGGCAGAGATAGGAGAATCACTGCAAGTTCCGGGCCAGCCTGGGTCAAACGATCCTGTCTCAAAAGAAAAAAAAAAAGTGAAGATATTTAAAAATGTATAGTCTATTGTGTAAAAGTTAAGATGAGTTCAAGGCCTGCCTGGTTTACAGAGCAAGTTTCAGGACAGTCACCAAAGCTACACAGAGAAACCCTGTCTCGAAAAACCAAAAAAAAAAAAA